AGCCGCGGGAATAAATTTCCGAATAAATCGCGGGAGCAGTCGGTAACGGGTTTAATTTGGGACGGGAGCGGGCTGTCTAGCAATATCACGGATATTGCTATGCGAATTAGAAAGAGAGAGTCTGCATGGTGCTTGTGTGTGTGTGTGTTAGTGCGCACGCGCGCGTATGAGAGAGAGAGAGAGAGCGAACGAACGAACGAGCTTTGTGTGCTTTGTGCTGTGTGTGTGTGTTTATACAGACAGCTTGGCTGTCTGGACTGTATACTGGGTGATTTTTGGTTGTGTTCTCCGCTCTAGCGGGACTGGGCGCGGCGGGCAGAAAACGGAGCGGGTTCTCAGGCTAAAACCTGGCGGGTGCGGGCGGAAGCGGGAGCGTTGTCATCCGGAGGTGTGTGTGTGTTTTTGTGTGTGTGTGGTATGGCGAGTACACGACTGTCTCCTTCGTTCGGTTATCCGTGGCACTATCCACTCGCCATAGTGTGGCAGCTAAAATCCACGTCTACACTATCGAGCGTGTATGAACTGTGATTACTTTTTAAATTGCTGATTAGCTATTGGCCATTTCCCTCTCTGACTGAAGGCAGTCGACCAATCGCGACAGACTGTCATCGGTCCAATCAGCGCAGATTAGCTCCGCGCTAAGGAGGGGTTTGGGAACAAATGAATCACTGGACGATTCATACAGGAGTCGCTGGGATAATTAGCTAAAAATAAATGCAGATTATAAGACCATGAAAGTGTTTTTTGACCTTGCATGCATATTAGACTGTTGTTGGAGACCCTTACAACCAGGATATGACCCTATTTCATGTATAATATGGGCTCTTTAATAAATCAGTGATGATGACCTGAGGTTAACATATTATTATTATTATTAATAATAAATCAGTGATAATAACTTGAGGTTAACATATTAATAAATCAGTGATGATGACCTGAGGTTAACACATTAATAATATTAATAAATCAGCGATGATGACCTGAGGATAACATATTAATAATATTAATAAATCAGTGATGATGACCTGAGGTTAACATATTAATAAATCAGTGATGATGACCTGAGGTTAACATATTATTAATAAATCAGTGATGATGACCTGAGGTTAACATATTAATAATATTAATAAATCAGTGATGATGACCTGAGGTTAACATATTCATAATTTTAATAAATCAGTCATGATGACCTGAGGTTAACATATTAATAATATTAATAAATCAGCGATGATGACCTGAGGTTAACATATTAATAATATTAATAAATCAGTGATGATGACCTGAGGTTAACATATTAAATATATTAATAAATTAGTGATGATGACCTGAGGTTAACATATTAAATATATTTATAAATCGATGATGACCTGAGTTTAACATATTAAATATATTAATAAATTAGTGATAATGACCTGAGGTTAACATATTAATAAATCAGTGATGATGACCTGAGTTTAACATATTAATAATATTAATAAATCAGTGATTATGACCTGAGGTTAACATACTCATAATTTTAATAAATCAGTGATGATGACCTGAGGTTAACATGTTAAATATATTAATAAATCAGTGATGATGACCTGAGGTTAACATGTTAAATATATTAATAAATCAGTGATGATGACCTGAGTTTAACATATTAAATATATTAATAAATTAGTGATGATGACCTGAGGTTAACATATTAATAAATCAGTGATGATGACCTGAGATAAAAAATATAAATGATATTAATAAACCTGTGATGATGCCAACATATTTAACAGAATAAATAATGAAATCATTGCAGCGATTCAAAGTAGTTAAGTTAACACCTCAAATAACCTACTGTCTTGTGTTTAAACTAGTGCTGTTTTGGTCCACATTTCTGGCGTGTCTTTAAATGAAATTGACATAATACATGCTAAAAACCGAATTATTAGAAAAAAGGTCGCTAAATTAGCAAGAGGGCAAGTTTAGTCGCGTTTAATAACGTTTGCTAGATTTAAATATTCAACAAAATACTCTTAGCTTGTTTTAATTAATTGTTTTAATTAATACCAGAAAGTAAGTAACAGTAACGTTAGAGCAGCACGCTAATCTAACGTTAGGTAGGGACGGCTAATTAGGCTAACTTAATGCAAACAAAAGTTAAACGTTGCTCGTTCACTTCGCTGGAAAAAAGGGACAAATCCATAAACACATGAATTTTACAATCATTACTCCTTCTGTAAACTTATAGAAGAAAACCGGTGATCTCACCTCTTCACTTGTCCTCTTCACCTGTCCTCTTTACTGGTGAAAATGGCAGTTACCTGTGTGTGGGTGGGTGTGTTTTCTTTTTTGAATTTGCGTTTTTGGCGGACTCTGCAGGAGGCTCATAATGATGACGTAATAACGTTTGATTGGCTGATAGAGATGTTGTCCCTGGGTCATCATAAAATATGTTGGTCTCAGGACAACTAGCACTTGGCAAAATCAGGACGAGCATAAGAGCACGCTGTAAATATCATAAAATAATGCTATCTTTTGACTAATTCAAATCAAACACTGAAATATTGTTTGTTAGTGTAATAAGATGTCACATTGATTTATGCCATAAAACCTGCTAATTTCAAGAATCGCTTTAATAAAATGAATAACCTTACTCACGTGTCCGATGTTGCTACTTCCTAGAAAGTGCTGGTCTGAGCATGGGTCTCGATACCTGCCGATTCACCCAACCCAACAGCAGGTGGCACTGTCTGAGAAAATGATAGGTCTGGAAGTGCTAGTCTGAGCGTGCAGGTCTGAGCGTGCGGTTGGGTCTCAGCTTCACCCTACTCAGTCTGCCTCGCGTCCAACGTTTACACTGCTTCATGTAAGGTCCCGCATGTAACCTCCCGCGTGTCGTGTGATTGATTGTAAACCCCCGCATGTCCTTTGGGCCCCCGCATGTCCCTGTCTGCTGTGTTCAGAGTGTTTGTGCAGGTGTATTACTGAACTCCTGATGTAACGCAGTTGAGATAAAATCTGTGATCATAAATCGCTGTTCAGGAAGTCAAAGTTCTCCAAAATATTTCCTATGATTTTCAATATGAACATGTGTGCTGAATCCCGCATTTAAAACACGCTTTACGGTACCGCTCGACGTGGATCGCTTGATTTCAGTGTCTGCGCGGTCACGGTCGCGTGCATGAGAGCGGCCAAGAGCGTTCCCGAGTGAATATTCCCTAAATGGGGTGTCTGCAGACTTGGATCCAGGCCGTTTTACGATCCTAATGCGTCCAGTGGATGGGATGAAAGAGACATGGCCAAATAAAACATTTGAAGTCAACGCTCCCAGATTATTAAATGTCCTGTTCATAAATATATATTTTTAATTAGATTAGGCTAATAATGAACGCTAAGTTAATGTATGCAGAATTGATACACTCACCAAATAATTTCATATATACAAAAGCCCAATTGCAAATTAGTTTAGATTCATTTAAAGAGCCCATATTATGGGTTTTTGAAAATTCTCCTCCATGTATTGTGTAACACAGCTCTAAGTGAAGTGAAGTATCCAGCTAAGGCTTAAATCTGTTAGTGTACAGTGTTTAAAACTGTTGATTCATCTATAAAAGAGTCGACTCATAGTGCTTCAAACGAGTCGCCTTGATACCGATTCATTAGGTGTTTCGCCATGACGTACGAACGAAACCAAGTTATTCACGTGCACGCGCAGACCCGGGAGATTTCAAACCTGCGGCCCCGCCCTCTGACGCAGAAACCCAGACACACACACACACCCACAAACACAAACATGCCGGTCGATTGAAGTCACACTGCAGATGGATATATTGAGTCTCTACCCAAAGATGAAACCTCAGCATTATAGCCAAGCAGTTGGAAACTACTGGAAACTTCTGGAAACTGCATGCTACAAAGAATACTTCATCAGCGTTTGTTAAAGGAAAGATCAGTAAAGAGTAACTTACTGATGGACGTCAGGATGGGTTTCTTCCTTCATTTCTCAAGTGTAAGTACGTGCGATTAAAGTTGTTGCCTCGTTGACTCTAGCTTGCAAATGTATTTAGTTGTGATTTGTTACTTGTAACCGCGTGTACTGTCTCAGGTTAACTGGCTATATTCTCTTATCGCGTGCAAAGTCACGTTAAAAACGCGACGCGTGCTGTTTGTTTACGGAGCTCCGTGGACGAGGAGTAATGTGTGTGTGTCTGTGTGTGCGTGTGCGCGCGCTGTCGTCCATAAGTGCGTGTGTGTGTGTGTGTGTCTGTGAAAAGAGCAGAGTGAGAAGCTAGGAGATCTCCTCAACTGTTTTTGGAGTTTTTGCTCAATAAAATAGTCAGTCGTCTGTATTTTCAAGTCCATAGTCTGTATTTACATTGACCCACTGGCAGCTAAAATCCACGCCTACACTATCGAGCGTGTATGAACTGTGATTACTTTTATATTGCTGATTAGCTGTTTGGCATTTCACTCTGACTGAAGGCAGTCGACCAATCGCAACAGACTGTCATTGGTCCAATCAGCGCAGATTAGCTTCGCGCTAAGGAGGGGTTTGGGAACGAATGAATCACTGGACGATTCATACAGGAGTCGCTGGGATAATTAGGTAAAAATAAATGCAGATTATAAGACCATGAAAGTGTTTTTTGACCTTGCATGCATATTAAACTGTTGTTGGAGACCCTTACAACCAAGATATGACCCTATTTCATGTATAATATGGGCTCTTTAATTAACATTGAGACATTTAGCAGGAATAACCTGCTTTTGTGTATTTTATTAACAATAAAACAATTTTCGAGAAGTTGTAAATGCATTTCCTGTTTACTGACACGACGTAGTGGCATCGACGTTATTACGTCTCTACTAACCAATGAAATTACAGGTGGGCGGGAGTGCATGTGCAGCCCCGCCCCAATCTCCACTAACCAATGAAATTACTGGTGGGCGGGACTGCATGTAATAATACTTTACTTATCAATTGTCATTAATAATTAATGATTAAAATGTCCCATGATGCAAAAGTGGACAATAATATTTTAAGGATAAAATCTCTCTGATAAAGGATTTCCTGAAAGAATAACAGTAAAAAGGTTTTGCAATATGTTTACAAACTGACTTTTTTTCCATTGTGTTAAATTTACCTTCTTGGTGGAGTCGTACTTCAGGACTTGCCCAAATGTGGACATAATCTGAGTACGGTAGTCCTCGATGTTATCTGCCTCTGAGATAAGGAACACCTTTCTCATCAGTCTGGCAGATGGCGGCTCTCTCCGTGCTGGTGGTCGCTGGAACTGCTGGCACAAACTCCCTAAAAGCAGAGAAAACAGACACTTTGCTGCTTAATCTTTGAATAAATGCTCAAAAGGATAGGAATTTAAAAATAATAATTCTTTCATCATTTACTGATCCTTTTAATGATTGTAAACCATTATGGGTTTCTTTTAAACACTAAACAAGATATTTAGAAAAATGTCAGAAACCTGTAACCATTGACTTCCATAGTATTTGTTTGTTTTTTTTACAATGGAAGTCAATGGTTACAGGATTTCGGCTTTCTTCAGAATATCTTCTTTTGTGTTTAACAAAAGAGAGAAACTCATAAAGGTTTAAAACTACTCATTTCTGGGTGAACTATCCCTTTAAAGAAAACAATTAACTCTGACTTACGAGTGATCTTCCCAGGTTTGTTGTACTGGCTGAGAAGAGTGGTGTACAAGTCCTTTCTCTGCAGATAGTCCTCGCAGTGGCTCTCCTGCACCTGTCTCCAAACTTTCACCATGGTGTTTCCCTCAGTGCGATCCCTCATTAGGCGGATCACCTGCTTGTCCACGCCACGCCTAGAATCATAGGAGCAACACAATCATTAGATGATGGTGAGTCTTAACTTTTATTAGACTCTGCATAATTTCACAATGATTTGTTTTCTGCTAGAGACTCACCGTAGCGTCAAGACAGCAGGAAACACCGCTCTGTGAGCTGGACTGAGCTGATTAAGGATGCACTGATCCCATGACAGGAAACGACCAATAGTATGCTCTTCCGACTCCTTTGCAGCCTTTCTACAGGCGTTGCATGCCAGGACCTCAGTCAGCATGGAGTACCAGCCAGACATGTGGCAGATCTGTCTTACCGTGGATGAATACCCACAACGGTAGAGAAAAGCCTTCTGATTGGTGCGTGCTGGGCAGTCAGACCTTGGGCACCGAAGACTGTAACGCCACACACCGACTGGTCTCCAGAAAAAAACGGAGCTGTGAAAAAAGGAGTCTGCTGAGGGGACTTTTCCTTCCACCACTCCAGGAAATTCTGGAGGGTGAAACCACATCCGGTCATCCTTCAGGACTTTCCTCCACTTTCTGTTTCCATGTTTGTCTTTATAAGACATGGCCCTCTGAAAGAGTCCCCTTTCAGCATCCTCCTTAGGCCACAGTATGTCTGCACTGGGCAGCCCATGAAGACCAGACTCCCACATCTTGTGCCAACCCTCAAATGACACCTGGTAATTAGAATAACCGAGACAAATCTGTGTTAAAATCAATTAAAGTTTTAGTATTAAAGTATTAATTTTTCTTATCTTCACAACCACAGAGTTCTTTGACAGTTACCTCAGAATGTGCTGGGTCACTGTGTGTTGACCCACCAGATGACCTTCTAGGTTGAACGTCAGAAGCTGACACAGAAGCTGATGCAGGAGCCGATGAAGAAGCCGAGGCAGGAACTGACGAGGCTGATGCAGGAGCCGATGAAGAAGCCGAGGCAGGAACTGACGAGGCTGATGCAGGAGCCGAAGAAGAAGCCAAGGCAGGAACTGACGAGGCTGATGCAGGAGCCGAAGAAGAAGCCAAGGCAGGAACTGACGAGGCTGATGCAGGAGCCGAAGAAGAAGCCAAGGCAGGAACTGACGAGGCTGATACAGGAGCCGATGAAGAAGCCGAGGCAGGAAATGACGAGGCTGATGCAGGAGCCGATGAAGAAGACTGGCCAGGAACTGATGAGGCTGATGCAGGAGCCGATGACGAAGACTGGCCAGGAACTAATGAGGCTGATGCAGGAGCCTCCAATAAAGAAGTCGACGCAGGAGCCTTCAACAAAGTAAGTATAATAGGTAAAACCTTTTTGATTGACATATTCATACTTTTTGCACGGCCTCCCCATCTAAGCTCACAAAACTGTATTCAGAAGTATATACACCACCTAATTGTGATGTACAAATGATAAACTTACAGCAGACAGTGGAGAGTCTGAGTGTGGCTTCTGTGACAGATCTTCACAGGAACGTTTTCTTCTCTTTGCTTCCCCGGCTCCTAAATGAGCACAGTTGTGATTATCAGAAGACAGTGTCTTAGTGTGATGAATTTTATTTATTAATGCATACAGTTGAAGCCGGAATTATAAGCCCCCCTGTTAAATTTGAGTTTATTTTTCACAATTTATGTGTAATGGAGAGAGGACTTGTTCAGGCACATTTCTAAACATAATAGTTCTAATAACTTAATTTCTTATAATTTATCTTTACCATGATGACAGTATATAATATTGGGTCACACTTTACAATAAGGTTTCATTAGATAATGTATTTACTAACATGTACTAATTATGAACAATGCTTGTACAACATTTTTAATCATAGTTCAACATGTACTAATGCTTTATTAAAATAATATTTAATGCTTAGTTGATGGACTGTGAGTTGGCATTGATGACTGTAACACGAACAAATACTGTATTTAGTATATTGTTCATTGCTTGTTTATGGTAGTAAATGCTTTGACATTAACTAATACAAACTTGTTGTAAAGTGTCACCCTTTAGGGTAACACTTTAGAGTAATAGTTCATTAGTTAATATTAGTTAATGCATTTACTAACATGAACAAGAAATTTAATACATTAATTACAGTATTAATTTATCTTTGTTAATGATGTTATTTAAGTTAAATAACGTTAGTTCAATAATGCACTGTGCAACAAGCACAACTTTGGATTTTAATAATGCATTAATGTTGAACTGTAATTAATAAATGCTGCACAAGATTGGCGACACTTAGTGTTAGTAAATTGATTAACTAAAGGACTATTATACTGAAGTGTTACCATATTCAGCGTGAGAAAGTAAAGGCTTAACTAGCTTAACACTGTTTGTTCTGTAGCCAATAGAAAAACATAAATAATAAAACAAATAAAACTTTCTTCAGAAGATAATATACTATCCTAAGTACTGTGAACATGTCCTTGCTCCATTACCTTAAATAAATATTTCACAGGAGGGCCCTCAGCGGTAGTTCATGCTACAACAGTATGAATAAATGTTAATAAGTGACATTCATTATGTGATATACCTTGTCTTTCAGGGAAGCTGAGTGGTTTCTTCGGCAGACCGCCTTTGTCCTCAACTGCTAAAGGAGGAAAAAAAAAACACAAGATGGGCAAAAGTCAGTGTCAAAGCAGCAAGAAGACAATCTCATCAGCACAGTGTTTTGATATTGTGTGTCATTGATTTATTTATTAATAAAAGATTTATGCTATGGTACATGAACAATTAAAGTGATATACACCTTGTGCTTCGAAAGCACTGAGGGCTTCCACCAGTAGCGCATCATCCGCCCATCCACCATCACCTCTAGATCCCGACGAGCTGGAGCTGGCCGCCGCTGCAGGAAGAGGCCTGTCTTCTAGGGGTTTCTGTGAGTTACAGGTTGTAGTTTGCATGAAATGTTGCCAGCATGATATATATTTTTTAATAAAGTCACATTTAAAAGAAATAAATAAAACCTACCTCTTTGTTGAGAACTGCCGGAACCGCTTCAGTGTCTTGACGCTGATGTCCTCCTCCTTCATCGTCAGCCACTGCCGCACAGAGCAGAACGCCTCCTGTGCCATCTTCTTTTCTTGGGCACTACCAGCTTGTGGATCCGCCTGCAGGGTCTTGTGCAGGCTGTACCACTGCCACATCTCCAGGAACGTGAAGGATCTGAAGCGGCCCTGACCGTAGATGGCACTGTCGACGTTGACCTCGAGGTGGCAGGAAACCTGTGGAAACAGTTGCACATACTGTAACAGAAGATCCTTTATATACTCACCTGGGCCCTCTTTTCTTCCTTGATGGCGACGCTCCTTGATGTGTAGATCCAGCACACTGAAATTTCAAAAAGATAATTAATTTGTGTAAAAACAGCTTATACAAATGTATAGCAACATACTTACTATTTAATGTAGCCAACGTCGTTCTCCACCAGCCATTTAAAACTTTGTCCATTGTACTTGCCAAAGTTTAGAATGAGCTGGCCGAGATACTGGACCTCAGATGGCGCACAAGTAATGTGCTGGCATCTTTTTTTAGCTAAGACATAAAATAACATTAATGCAAATAACAGTCTGCAGTGTACGCATATGACAGAAACGCATAAATCAGATATTACCTTCCTCACAAGCAGTTTTTTTGTCCTGGCTAGTGTTCCGCTCGAAGCACCTGTTGCGAGAGGCCAGGGTCTTGGCGTCCTTCGATGCTTTAAGAAAGCACTGTTGTCTGTCCTGTGGCACACTGGTGTCAACAATGCTCAGGGTGGGCAACAGTGGATCCATGTCTAATTCACCTGTAAGAAGTATTCTTATAAACATCACAAATATAGAGAGGGAATATGGTCTTAGCTCTGAGCTCATGATAAAGTATTAAAAAAACATTTTGTGTGTTAAGTCTTTTTTTTTCCATTTTTACATGTTTGATAATTAACAAATAAATGAAATATCATCAAAATAAATTATCTGACAAGGGTTAACAATGCTGACAGAGATGATGCATTTGACAGTGGCAATGAAAACATGAATTATCATATCAATTGCTCTGTTATACATTTTTTTCAAATGCTTACAGTTGTATTTTGTGTTTTTTAAGGGGCAGCTATTAATATCAACCTCCATATGGCTGATATAAGGTAAGGTAAAATACATTCTAAGCATGTTAAATACATACTCTCATTAATATGATATCATTTACACATATAATACTTGAAATAACATAACAAATCATATTTAATGTATGCACATTTTCATTTTAAAGCTTATAGCAGTAATTGCTGAATATGTTTTTGTCCCAGGCCTTGAGAATCAGTGATATATTATTCAGGCTATGGCAATAACGATTTTACTATATTCTTATGATAACAAATACATGTATTGATCATATGTTTTGTCCCAGTTAAGATCTTAAGATGTTCTTCACTTCTCATAGTTACAACTAATGATAACAATCGCCATGGTAACATATATTGCTACATATAAAGGGATATTTATTTATCAGCATGTTTGTTTCTATATTATAATGAAACATCTGTGTATACTGAGCTATCAATCTGTGTATACTGAGCTATCAAACCGACGCGATCGTCGAAAATAATACAAAAGCTAAACTTTTTCAGGTTTTGTGCAGCCAAATATGCATTTAAATAATATCACAGTATAAAAACAACTTACCACACGAAATATCTTGGAAAGGTGAACTTTCTGACGGCACAGCGTCACCAGCACAGACCAAACACTGCACAAAGAGTGAGAGATTTCAAACGTGATGTGATCTTAGCAATATAAAAATAGCTTACCACACAAAATCTCTGTAATGGGTGAACGTCTGACGGCGCAGCGTCACACACACAGACAAAATACTGCACACACAGTGAAATATATCAAACGTGATGTGAGCAAAACATACTGTTTATCAGAACAGGATAAAAATAACCTACCACTATAAATCACTACAACAGGTGTACTTTATGACGGCGCAGCCTCACGAACACAGACAAAATGCTGCACAAAGAGTGAAATATTTCCAACGTGATGTGACCAAAACATACTGTGCATCAATATAACAGTATAAAAATAACTTATCACACAAAATCTCTATGACAGGTGTACTTTTTGAAGGCGCAGCCTCACGAATACTGCACAAAGAGTGAGATATTTCAAACGTGCCTTGACCAAAACATACTGTGCATCAATATAACAGTATAAAAATAACTTACCACACGAAATCACTTCAGCATATGAATTTATCTCGACAGCAGATGAACTCTCTGACCCGATAAATTGTGAGCGTCCAGAGCGAGAGAAACTTTAGAAAATCCTCAGCGCTGATTGGCCGTGATTTGAAACTTTAGACAATGCAGCCCTCCGATTGGCCCAGGGTCTAATCAAACTGTAGACAATCGCGGCTTTTCATTGGACAAGAGTCTACAGTCTACAGTTTACATTGCACGTTCAGTGGGCAGATGTCTGCGAATTCCCCAAATGTGGGAATCTCGACTGCATAATTTCTGGTAGTGGGGGACTGCGTTCGCGCTCTCCCCTGAGCACAGCGGTTCAAGACAGAGTTCAGGCGGTAGCGTGGGACCCGGCTGGAGCGTCGCTTCCCTCTCTTCCTTGTCCTTTGCCAAGCCTCTTTTGCTCCAGTAGTGGAAGGCCTGCCCACCCGTCGCTAGAAGAGTCTGTTCAGACGCCGAAAAACCACTCGAAAGGTACCCCCTCAAAGCGGTTTGACCAGGTGAAGGAACACGCAAAGAGAGCCCCCGGTGGCTTTTGTCCACCAAGCGAGTGTGCCCTGTGGAACGTCAGGATTTTATTTGCCGGCCTGCCGCTGTTACTGACGGAACGAATGCAGACCGTGTGAAAGGTCATCATTTTATCTGCCATTAAGTAAGCGAATGCTTCTGCTCGGATCAGAGGTAACTTTGTTTCAAGAACTGCAATCTTTTGCAGACGTCTGTGGCGTTTTGGGCAGAGGGACGGTTCTAAACCAATCTGAACCAGAGGCAATTTCGCAGCCAGCCGTCGGTGGTTTCCCGTCTCAGGAATGTAAGGTGCCTGCAGCGGGAGGTTGTTCCGTTAGCGCTTCCGCTTTCGTCAGTCAAGTTCTTTTGCGGAACGTTTGTAGATCCCGTCGTGTTCTTCAAGCTATGTCGTTTGAGCACTGTGCTGGTAGGCTGACGTAAGAAAACAGGACACGAAATATACAAGGCGAGAGTGCAAAGCACGGAGCTCTAGGCAAAGGCGGTCCGAACCGCAGCAAAGCAGGAGGTCGACATGTCCAAATAGACCAAATCAGAAACTAAGCAGAGAAAAACGGCATCTGTAGAGGAAGAAAACAGATGGAGTAAAAGAAAGAAAGAACAGGAGGATCCCCTCCCCCCATAGAGGGTCTGTTATCCCCAGATCGAGTGCGTCCAGTGGAATCCATGTGTTGGCAGCCCCAACTGATGACAAAACACGAAGCAAGCATCTGGAGGAAGCTCAAACTCTTCATGCGTTGCCACAGTTACTAGCGAGTGGTTTGCAAGCACAGGCACGTCTGCTGCAAGTACAGCGCCGTCAGGAGACAGGGGTTGCTGGCCCATTCCCCATGCTCGGTGGCTGGGCATCACCGCCCTGGAGTACGGCCGATAGAAAACGGCGGCTGCCATTTGCGCCGCCCGGCAACTCATACTTACCTGGCAAGGGAGATACCATGATCAAGAAGGTGGTTCACCCAGGGCGAGGCTTGGCCATTGCACTCCGGCCACGCTGACCCCTGCGAATTCCCCAAATGTGGGAATCTCGACTGCATAATTTCTGGTAGTGGGGGACTGCGTTCGCGCTCTCCCCTGAGCACAGCGGTTCAAGACAGAGTTCAGGCGGTAGCGTGGGACCCGGCTGGAGCGTCGCTTCCCTCTCTTCCTCGTCCTTTGCCAAGCCTCTTTTGCTCCAGTAGTGGAAGGCCTGCCCACCCGTCGCTAGAAGAGTCTGTTCAGACGCCGAAAAACCACTCGAAAGGTCCCCCCTCAAAGCGGTTTGACCAGGTGAAGGAACACGCAAAGAGAGCCCCCGGTGGCTTTTGTCCGCCAAGCGAGTGTGCCCTGTGGAACGTCAGGATTTTATTTGCCGGCCTGCCGCTGTTACTGACGGAACGAATGCAGACCGTGTGAAAGGTCATCATTTTATCTGCCATTAAGTAAGCGAACGCTTCTGCTCGGATCAGAGGTAACTTTGTTTCAAGAACTGCAATCTTTTGCAGACGTCTGTGGCGTTTTGGGCAGAGGGACGGTTCTAAACCAATCTGAACCAGAGGCAATTTCGCAGCCAGCCGTCGGTGGTTTCCCGTCTCAGGAATGTAAGGTGCCTGCAGCGGGAGGTTGTTCCGTTAGCGCTTCCGCTTTCGTCAGTCAAGTTCTTTTGCGGAACGTTTGTAGATCCCGTCGTGTTCTTCAAGCTATGTCGTTTGAGCACTGTGCTGATAGGCTGACGTAAGAAAACAGGACACGAAATATACAAGGCGAGAGTGCAAAGCACGGAGCTCTAGGCAAAGGCGGTCCGAACCGCAGCAAAGCAGGAGGTCGACATGTCCAAATAGACCAAATCAGAAACTAAGCAGAGAAAAACGGCATCTGTAGAGGAAGAAAACAGATGGAGGAAAAGAAAGAAAGAACAGGAGGATCCCCTCCCCCCATAGAGGGTCTGTTATCCCCAGATCGAGTGCGTCCAGTGGAATCCATGTGTTGGCAGCCCCAACTGATGACAAAACACGAAGCAAGCATCTGGAGGAAGCTCAAACTCTTCATGCGTTGCCACAGTTACTAGCGAGTGGTTTGCAAGCACAGGCACGTCTGCTGCAAGTACAGCGCCGTCAGGAGACAGGGGTTGCTGGCCCATTCCCCATGCTCGGTGGCTGGGCATCACCGCCCTGGAGTACGGCCGATAGAAAACGGCGGCTGCCATTTGCGCCGCCCGGCAACTC